CTACAAAGTATAGGCGCAATTTCAATATTTTACTTGGGGGGGGGGGGCTGGACAAATATATATCAAATATACATGTGGGGCTTCGCTCTACTCTCACACCCCTTTCAGCATGTCTTTTGAACACACCATGATTATTAGTAATTATTTACTTACACCTTTCCAAATAAGAGATACAAAAGTTCTCACTCTATATACTCATCTAAAACACAATAAAATACACTATCAAATGTTTTAAACAGTTAAAACACAAAAAATGAATACATTTGATTATTAATATACAGCAGCAAGGTTTATAAATAATATATTATTATATATCATATATTATCTGTATTTATGTCTATAGATTAATCATAGTTTAAACTTTAAATTGTATTAATAGGTTGAAAAAAATTCTTATCCATTTTAAAAATATCATACATTTTGTGAAACAATGTTTTAAATAATCATTAATATTTATTATGCCAATAAACAATGATTTTATTTGTAACTAATATCGTATCACCATATGGGGGCTCAAACCCCTCCACCCAAATTGCCCTTATACTACAAAGTAAAACAAGTCTTAACTAGTAAAATCCATCACCTACAGAAAAAACAAAAATATGGAAAAACAATATAATCAAATTGTTAAATTAAAATTTATAATATACAAACACAAAGATATCTAAACAAAATATTTAATAGAATAAAAAATAAAAATACAAAAAGATCAATAAACTGTTACAACGTTAAACAACTTTAATGAAATAAAATCGGTGGTGGCCAATATCGCAATATAAACTATAGAGATTTTTATTTTTTAGCGTTTTTTGACCTAACTCAAGGTACCATTGTTAATATTAAAAATGCATGTATTATAGTATAATAACCTTTCAATCAAAAAATTTAATCATTTTTTTGAAGATAAATTTATTATAAAACTACCCGTTTAAATAAATATATACAAAAGAAATAAACATTCATAAGACCGTGTTACATAAATTTATTATAATATTATTTTTAATTTATTAATTTTTTTGTTTCAACAAATTTTTATTTTTACAAGGTTTATTATAATATAATATATACTATCAAATAATAAATGATGTACTTACGTGTGTACTGCGTATGATTAAAATAAAATTATAAGGTATTATATTTGTACGTCTTGCGTTACCTTATAAAAATATTAATCAAATATAATTTATCCAAAATGTTTTATTACTTTATTATTACTATGTATATTGTATAACATAAACTACTAGTATCGGTTATTCTTGTAATCACTAACAACACAACAACGTATTGATATTAGCCAGTTATGAATTAAGGATAAAGGAATAAATCATATCATGGAATATTTTTTAATTACAAAAGAATATAATTTTATTTTTACTTTTATTCCCAAAGTTTTAATTTAAAACATTATATATAGTTATATTATGTTAGTTTTGTTTAAAATCCGTTATATTTTATCATAAAATGTAATTTTTATGTCTCATTAATAAGGATATAAAGTATATGCACACTGTGCAGGGTATACATATCTGTATTTAATTATTTATATAATATAAACATGAAATAGTTGTATAGCCAAACCAAATTGAATCATACACCACAAATTATAAGTTATAACTATGACGTGTGTGCACTAACGTTTAATATAATCTAGAGACTATAGTACATACATTTTATTATAACTTGAGCGTTATCATAGTCAAAGACCAGGGTTAACTGTTTGATTATTCTATGAATTTTTTGTTTTAAATTTACACAATTATAATAGTTATTAAGCATATAACGATAAAAGAGTTATATTATAAAATATTATATTGTGTACTACGTAGATTATAATCTTTAACATTGATATGGAAAAAAATATACCGATTATAAATCATAATATATCTTGGATAATTTTCAATTTACCATTTATCCTTGGTGTTGGAACTTGAATGTACAATATTATAATATTATTTAGTATTATAATTTTTATTTTTGTAATATTATAATTCATAATTGTACATTTTTAAATAGTTTTAAAGGTTATTTATTTATATGAAACATTATAAACAGAATATATAATTATTTTACGTAGGTGCTATATTCATATTATATGAGTTTGATAGTATAAGAAAGGATAGTGAAAAGTGATTAAAAAATGCCCGTTCTGAAGACCTTTACAGAAAGTTATCTAAACAGAATTTACGTAAATACTAAGGTTTATTATCTACGGCTATTGACTACTCTACTCTGTCGATATTGTCTGTGGATGTTTATACATTAAATTATGCATAATTCAGGGGTGGATCCAGAAATGTTCTGTGTGATGGAATGGGGGTGCAGCGCATAGAAAGCAACAAAAAAAGTCATCAGATAAAAAAAGCTTGGCCCAATAATATATTTTTTTATTTAACTTGGGAAGCCTCCTTCACCCCCACCCCACTCCCTTGAATCCGCCACTGGTATAATTTATTATGTATTATAGATACTAATTAATCAAAATATAATAGATACCTACCTACCTATCTTCAATACGTTTTAAATTTACAATTATCGTGAGTAAAATGCAATGGAGATATTATGATTGGTGACTTGTTAAAGAGAAAAATCTGTTGATGGAACTTCGAATAGTGGAAAGTTGAATTTTTATTTAAAAAATTGAAGGTCTAACAAAATATTTTTATAAATGTATAATGGATAATAATACGTAAAATTTGAAAAGCTATTAGGAATTTCCGAATACACGTTGACAAGGCATGTATAAATAATATGTTACGAATATGTACTTTATAGTTTATAGTTTATATTAAATTATAAGTATTGATATTTAATTAATAATTCGAATCATAGTTATCATACGTAATTTAATTATGAAATAAAAATATTTTAGATTTTTAACTTTAAATTTTATTTAATTAATTACCCGCTCTATTTTATTTTTTTTTTTTTTTTTAGACATTTATATATTACATGCAGTTCGCAATCAATTATATTATATATACTTTATACAATAACATATTCTAGATTAATCTAAACGTATGATACGTATAAATAATTGGAGACCATAAATAATTTTAATCCAAGAAATCATAATATCACCAGAAAGCTTAATTACTTAAGTATAGAACAATCATAATCAAGGAAAAGCACACACTGCGAGCGTGCTAAAAACTTATCCTAATTACTATACGTTATGTAAATGAAATAAAAACAATAAAAATTAACATATCATAACTGTATATATTAAGCCTAATAAAATTCAATATGTTAAAATTCTAAGAGTAAAATGGCTATAAACAGTATAGTTCGCTTAGGTAAGTGTAATAATACGCACTATTCATGCAGCTAGTCGGGTATACAGAACGATTCTTTTAATAATGAACATTCATATTATTTTAAAGTATTAGCTACTTTTCATCAATTTTCCGTTTAGAAGATACTAAATATGATACACGCAATTTAAAAAATTCTGATTCTTCCATCTTATTTACCATTTTACCAGTAGGATATAAAATTTAATTCCTAATCGCTAGCATATGGAGTATCTACTCCAAAAATACTAATTTAACTTGATTAATTTGTTTATTGCCACTTCATTTCTTCCAAATCTTAAAAAATGATGAATGTGTCGAAATAATCACTCTTTATAGTTTAAAATATAAAAATATTTATAGGTACTTAATCAGTGCCGAAACTATCGTGGTGTAAGCTTATAATATGATGGATGGAGTGCAGGTGGTTGATGCGATTTGATATCCTCCCTTGACCTTTTTTTCCCGTTATGTTCCTTATATTGAAATTATCAATGTCTATTATTTGTTTATTAGTAAATACAGTACACATTGCAATACTTAAACCTCTATTTCCGGATACGTTTCATGCAATGAATAAAATCTCTTATATAACGGAATTTATTAAAAATATTACACTGGAAACATAAAAAACCTATTCGTTTTACTCTCCCAATTCTTACCATTGTTCATAGATGTGAGTACAATAAACACATTTTCATTCCCTTTGCGAAAATGCAATTAATAAACGTCACTGCAATATATACATAATATGATAATATAATATGTTTTATTAATCCGCTTCTCGTTAAATAATAAAATAATGTGTTATATGTGGCATAATCGTGTAGGTTTGGTCTTCAAGAAACAATCGTGTCTCCAAATTTGGCAATAGCATAAGTTCATTGCGTGACACAGCATATATAGATATAATAAATAAATAAAAAATGATATTAAAAATATTAATTTATTTGATTGTATATCAAAATAATAATAGATTTAGAATAATATATTATAACACGCGGAAAATAATAATACATGCTATGTAACAAATTTTTTGATATAATAATAATTCAAATATTTTGTTTTTATTTTTGATGGAATCAACAATATTACAATATCACGGTGACCCAGGCAACGGTCACAACACACATGATTAAACGTCCAAATAACATAATATATATAACATCACATCATTTATGATGACGCAAAAGTCGAAGAGTATTTTATTTTTTTTGTTCATAAACTATTCTTTTTATTTCTTGGAATCTTTGCTAATAATAATGCGTATAGAAATATAACATTTCCAATTCAAACTATTCCTGGTAAACATTTACGAAGTGGGTGTGAGTTTTAAGGAATCATTCGGAAGACGACGTAGGTGGACGTGGACTAATAAAAACGAGTGCGCGCTATATCATATATAGAGTTGTATAACATAATATCATTATTACTATTATAGTAGAGCGTCGATTATTCGCACTAATTGGGACCAAAGGGGTGCGGATAATCAAACAACCATTGACAATTTTCAAATAAAATTAAAAACTAATAAAATAATAATAATTTTATAATTTTATATTAATAATATAAAAAATATAATAAAAATAAATGTAATGTATTTATTTTAAATAATGATCAATTTTTTTTTGCACTTCCAATTAATTCCTTTTTTTCGCCGCCAATTTTTTTATTCTTTTTAATAATAAAAGTTCAGTTGTATTCATACCACTACATTATTGCCTCTAATACTGTAAAGATTTCACCTGGCGTACGACCAGTATAGTTCTCGGCGTCTTCATATTCATTTTCAATTTGAGCAAACAGTTCTGATTCTTTTACTGATTCAACAATTTCACCATCGTTCAATATTTCAAATCTTAAATCATTTGCATCATTTTCTAGCCAGTTTTTCACATCAATTTTGTTATTTATTTCAAGTCTTAGAATTGACTTCAGTAAATTTATGATTTCGGTAATATCTTGTATCTCTTAATCTTCTTGAATTATTTCTGCATTTAGCTATAATTTATTCCAGGCATTTTTTTATTTTGTGTAGTAAGTGATTGCCAAGATTCAGATAACATATAACATGAATCTTTTAAATTTAAATTTCGATAAAAATGTATGACATTTCCTTCGCAATTCGACAACAGCAAACGTCGTGATATTTGTTTTCTATAAATCCGTTTAAGTTTTTCAATTATGACTTGATCCATAGGTTGAATTATTGCAGTAGTATTTGCACTAAAAAAACATAAAATTAAAATCTGAATCTACCATTTTCAATTTTTCAGCAGAAGAATGTGATAATGCATTATTTAACAAAAGCATAACTTTTCCTTTTCTTCCTTTACATTCTCGTTCTTGTTTGACTTTAGGTATAAATTCATTAGAGTACCATTCATAAAATCATTCAAAGTTCATCCATGTACTTTTTTTGTGCCTTATATGTCATTAGAAGTCGATTAATATTTTTAAGACACCGTGGTTTAATAGCTTTTCCAATCACTAATAATGGTAAAGCGTGATCTCCAATAGTATTTGCGCAAATCATCACAGTTATCCTAACTTTACTAACTTTATAACGAGGTGCTGATGATTCACGAAATGATACAAATGATTTTCGGAGTAATACCTTCCAGTTTATACTTGTTTCATCAGCGTTGTAAATATCATTTCTTGTGTATCCTTTCCGCTCTACCATATTCAAATTTTTTTGCCTTAGGTTGAGTCCATCTTTGACGCATATGATAAAATATTTTCTTTCTTACGTTTTATATCACCAATAGTACACTTACCTACATTATAAAATTGAGCTAAAGAAGATCCACTTTCTCCTTTTTTAAGTTTTTTTATTATTTTGATTTTTGTTTAAATTTTTAACCCATTTTAATTCATACGTGCAAACTGTGCTCTTAATCACGTTTAAGAACCAACTAAATTTAAGATTATGTATGTACAAACATATTACATACATATTTACATTAGAGTAAATCGTTACCGTAGTAGATAATAAAATAATCTCGCATTTCATAGTATGTAAACGATAAAAGGAACACAGTGGTTGATAAAACTAATTTAAATTAAACTAAAAATAAATTTGTACACAAAAATGTTGTAGTGCGGATAATTTACGGGCCGGATAATTGACGTGTGGATAATCAACGCTCTAAAGTCCACTGTATTATAATAATATAAAAACCACTAAATTACATAATATTTCGCCATTGGTTTTTTTGTAATAGTCACATGCATAATATGGTTAATGATTTATAACAAGGGCTCAGATATCGTAGTAATTTGCATATTTTCTATATGCACTTGATTTACAGCAAACCAAGCTAGAAACTCATTCTAAATTATGATGAGATTAATGACGACAATTTAACATGCATATTTTTGCATATCTCGTGAATTTTAGAAAAAAATGCGTATTTCTTAATTTTGATATATTATGCATATTTTCTATTTTATTAAGCACTTATTAAATGTACTATTTTATACCATCTTATTTAACATAGGTATTTCTCTTTACCAACAATTTATGTAATGTTACAAAAAGTAATTTGTCCACTATAAAATACTTTGGTATTTTGATATTGCCGTGTTTTTGTTATGGCCTGATATACCGGGAAATGTTGGTATTTACATCATAATGACCAATTATTATTTTTTTTCAACCAGGTTTTTATCGCATTTTATTAATATTGCAATAAAATTATTTTTAGTAAAAAAATAATATGTTTTATATTCTATTATTATGTCAGTACCTATAGGTTTACTATTGTTTTATTAAAGCTATAATTATTTTTTTTTTTTACATTTTAGATTTGTTGTTTGTTTGTATATTTTATTGAACTTGATTTCTATAAAATCTAAGCACTAGTTATACATTTATAATTTATAACTAATAATTACATTCATGCAGCTTAACCTGTGATGTAAGCTTAACCAACTCATTTATATAATATTTTATGTTCGGTATTTATTTTTTAATATCTTCAGAATAACCATTTTCTCTTATACTACTGATTGCATGCTTCCATTACAAAATACGTTTCGTGATCAAATTAACTAGATTTTTTATTCGTTAATCGACGTATATCATTACACTCATATTAGATATTGTTTTTACCAATAAATCGTCTCGACTTTCGAATTTAATAAAAGCATATAAGTATACCAATTAACGTTCGTAGCTAATACTACACTTATATAACATATAAATTTAAATACCAATAATAGTTACCAATTATATATTATATAAGACTCTCATACACGAGGTATATAATTTTTGATGATAATGTTTAAGTAAACAAAAGAAATAACATGCATGATGAAAAGTATATGCTGTCAATTGTCATCAAAGACCAAAATTACTATCAAAAGAAGCTATATGCCTATAATATACGCCATATTGTTATTTGTTAAGTATATCTGTGAGACATGGACAACAACGATAAATGATGAACTAAAACTCTTAATATTTGAGGGGAAAATTTTAAAGAGTATAAATGGACTAAACCCAGGGTTAAGAAGTTATGAAAATCTAAGACACTGAAAGCAGTTTCGACGTACCAAACATACAAAAATATCTGAAAACTAAAAGATTAGAGTATATGGTTAAAGAATAAACTAAAACGCGAAACTCAGGCAACTGAGGCAACCCAACTGGTTGATTTCCAAGTAGGAATCATCAAAAATATAGCTTGGTATACAGTGATCAAAGATTTTGAAAGCTTAGAAACAATAGAAATTGAAGATTAAGTTGATCGGGAAAATGAGAGAGATTTGATTGAAGTGTCAAAAGACTTTCAAGAGTTTTCAAAACGATTTGCAGTGGTATATAGTCCAGAAAAAATAAAAACCCCGTCAATACGATAAAAAATAAAATACCATCTGTACTACGATTGTTCCTGTATCATAATAAACATGTAACCAAAACTGGGCGGTATTTTAGATACTATCGTATATCTTATATCTACATGCATAATTTAAATGCATATTGCATCTTGTATTAAAATACTGTTTAACTCGCATTTCTAGAACCTTTTTATGTTATAAGATACAAGTTATACATTCAAAAATAATGTTTTATTTGTGTAACATTTTTGCCAATAGCCCTATAACACTGCAGTCTGCAAGTCTTGGAATTCGTAGTTACATTTAGCTAACGTTAATGCTGTCGTAGATAATCTAACATAGTAGTTAAAGTTGACTGCCGATAGTTTATCGGTACACGCTCGGAGTATAGTGTACACATTCAATTACATTCGTCAAAACCGTTCAGACCGCGTCAGCGAATTAATAATCGCGGACATCGCGTTATCGTTTTCACACGGTCGACTAACGGTGCTCGGCCCGAAATAAAACGCCTCCCCGCGTCAACGTCAACGTAGACGTAGACGACAACAACAACAACAACAACAACAATAATATCGTAATAGTACGCATAGTAGGACGTTTATTGTGATGACAACAATAGCGATGCGCGTATAACCGATCGCGGCTTTGTACGTACATCGACGCGGAACACCTGTGCCGATTTCGCGGCGCGGCGGCGGAGTGAACCACTTTTTGGCGAAAAAATCTCGTTCCGCGCGCGACCCGCGTAAAAACTGTGCGCCGAAATCGGCTGAAAACAAAAAAACCGTCCGAACTCGGCGGAATAAAATATGTGCCCGCGCAGATGCAGTGCCTATACGCCGTACGCGTCGTTTAACAGTATACCGTACGAAAGAGAGAAAAAAAAAAAGTGTTTGTTGTGGACGAAAATACTGCTGT